CAGCCCTTTGAACGGTATTATGGGACCCACGCATATAATGAACGGTTGCATTGTTGTGAACGCAAAATTGGCATTTAAACGGGAGGTTTTAACGCCCCAATGCGGTTGCCCTAACACACCATGCGGCCCTTTTTTTGTTGTCTTTATCATTTATTTATCTTTCTTTCTTTAAACTTAATTATCTATGTCATCTAGTTACATTTTTCTTTTATACATATTTATCTTTGTTACATAAATAATTTATGTTATTTGTTGATTGCTTCATTGGCCATTATAATTAATTTATAGATTATATTTAACTAACTTCTTAAAATTACTTCAGTGTGGTTTAAAGTTGCTCGATAAAATTTAAATATATTTAATATTTATTTTGTTACTATTTATAGTTGATTTGTAAATTTTATATGCTTTATCTTTTTTTTTTAGTTATGTGTTGTGAGAGTTATTTGTTTTATAGGTCAAACCTAAACCATAAATCAACTAAAGTTCATTAAAAATGACGTTGTAATAAATTTATATTATTTTATGTATTTAAGATAATATTGATAATAACTTAATTATAGTTTTACTCATTAATGATCTTTAGTTAACTGTTAACATATCATCATGTTTAAACTACAAAATAAATCATTCTTATGACATATAAAAACCACTTAAAAAGTGAGCTATATAAAATTTAGCAACTAATTAATTAATCTATGCAATAGAAGGATATTATAAATTTTGATTATGGTGATACAAAATTGATATTTTTTCACTAAAAATTCTAAAGAAACTTTGTAAGTGATTTTGTTACTACTATAATTTTGCCGCAATAAAACAAAAAAAAAAAGTTTTGGTTGGTAAATTAGTTATTTGATGTGTCTGGAATTTATATTGAGACATTATAATTTTATAAAAGCATTCAAAGTACTATCTATTTTGGAGGATCAAAGTACCAATAACCTTAATATAAGTGAGGAATTGTGAGCTATTGTGATGAGGTTGTGCCTTACATATGAGATTATATAAATTAATATGTTAAGCAAAATAATTTTTAGAGCATTGTTGATATTATATAAATACTCTAGTTTATATATATATCTTTGCTTAAGGCACTATTTTTGTATTTGGCCCAGGGCCAAAAAATATTCAGGACCGGCTCTGCCAGCCCGTAGGTTGCTGGTTCCAAGAACCGACACCGTGACTTTACGGGTCCTATACATGTCCATTTTTTCTTTGCCCCGGCGGTCCGAGACCGGGCCGAGACAAGGCCGGTTTCACGGACTGGTCCTTGGTTTTTGGCGGGCCGGTTAAGGGTTATACATGGGAGGCCCGCCGGCCTGTTGAATGGCCTATCTCTATTTCTACTTAACCTTTATGATATATGCGCATCATATAATTTATTTTATTTTATTTTATTTTATTTTATTTATCATTTTTTTGCATTGTTATTCGTTCTTTTACAGAGCTACCCGCAGTAAATTTTGAAAATTGGATACACACTCGCAGTAAATTCCATGGTCAACAGTGTTACTGGGTAACAATCACCAATCCTTAAACATTACATTCATCAAACAGTCCGAATACCACAACCTTTTACATATGATTTTTCATCAATATGGTCAGTCCACAACATCATACCACGCTTATCAATCATCATTTGCACAGACAAAGATATCATCACATCACAGTTTGGTTTTCTGGACAAAGGACTTGCTGTCCAGTTCTTTGCTGTAGAAGTTCTCACAGAACTCTTCAATGGTGAAATCTCTGTAGATGGCTGGCTTTTCGGGCGTTAACAGCTCCGGCAAGGGCCCGTATTTGCCGTCCTCGCGCCATTTAACTAAATTGAAGAATGTGACTATCGAGATACGAGGTTCCTTGTTCCCGTTCGCCAACACTCTATGTCGAACACTCTTATACTCTCCGTTCGAAACAATCTGCACACAAGATACAAACATAATCATATATCAGTGTTTATTAACCTTATTTTCTTCAAATCGTCCAATATTTTTTTATTCAACTTTGTACAGTACTTTTTATTCTTGTATCAATTTCATCAAATCATCATCTTTTTTGCTATATATCAAAATTTCAATGGAAAAAGTTGGGGAACCACCAAAATTATTAAATCCAAACTGCATTTTTTGCATATTCCGTCACCGGATCGTAGCATTTCCGGTATAAACATATTTACCTGAAGAAAATCTCCAATATTAACAATAAGTCCTCCTGGGACGGGCTTGACGTCCACCCATTCTTCCCCATGCCGCACCTGCAAGCCCTGTACCTCATTCTGAAGCACAATCGTGATAATCCCTGGATCCGTGTGTGCCTTGATCCCCAGCGTC